AGCCCCGCGGCGCCATGGGCGCCTACCTGTCGCAGCCCAACACGGTGAAGAGCTCGGGCGACGGGGCCGGGCTCGGGCCGCGCCCGCTGCACTTCGGCTTCAGCGCCATGCAGGGCTGGCGGGTCTCCATGGAGGTCGGTGCCTGCGGCCTGCCCGGGGGGGAAGCGGGCCTGGGGGCAGGGGCCGGGTTGTGCCGTGCCGGGCGGGGGGGCAGGGATTTCTCAGTTCCCAAGAGCCAGAGAAGAGCTATGCTGAAGGACTCTTTATTCTTTCTCTGCTCGGAGCCGTGCATGGCGGTCAGCAGCCCACGTGCCCGCAGCGCTGGGGTTCGTGTGCGATGCGCCGTCTGCGGTGGAGGTGCTTACACAGGAGTTGCGCCGCACCCGGGCTTGCTCCTAGGTCAGCGGGGCCGGTGGACGGGTATGTGGCAGCCCACAGACCACACACCCAGGTTACAAAGGCCAGCAAGCAGTTCAGAGGCCTCGGGATGCCTTTAGTAAGCAAGAGCCTTTGGATGCTTGGAGGCAACTCAAATCTGTCGTCATAGTTTGCCGCAAGGGTCCCGGAAAGGTAATGGTTCGTGAACTTGTTGAAGGCAGCCATTGCTGGTCAGAGATGTGCTTGGGGCAGGGTTATGTGCCCTGCTGCAAGCAATGCCAGCAGCTACCGTGTCTGCCCAGCCAGGCTGGCTCTGTTGGAGCGGCAGAGGAAAGCGTTGAGGAATTTCCCCAGCCCGAAGGAGGTGTTGGACCCATCTTTTTCCAGAGGTTTTGGCCTTTTTGTGTAGCTGCAGGTCCGAGCAGCCCAAGCCGGAACCTCCTCCTCCTAAACCTGCCTGAGGCAAAACAGGACATCCCTGCCCAGGAGAACCCAGGGGTTTGCATAGGTTGCTTTGAATAAGCTGCTGTTCAAGCTTCCGGGTTTATCCTGGCTTGCTTGTGGTGTCCCCCTCTCTGCTGTTTGCAGGGCACTCCTTAAAAGTGACCACGCATATGCACCGTGTGCCCTCTTTTGTAGGCTCTGCCTCAACTCCCTGTATCACTAAGCTGAGGGCGAGTCACGTGGTGCATTGTACTAGGTTACATTGCCATCATCATGGCTTTTCCTATCACTGCTTCCAGTGCAGTAACTGCCTGGGGTAAGGCGCTGTACAAATAGAGGACCACCAGGTGCTTCTGGTCATGGCCTTGGCCCAGGGGCAGTGTTCAGCATTAGTAATGGCCCACAAAGGAAAAATTGTTAGACCTTGTTTCCATTTTTCTTTTTCTGGCGGTTTTCAGCAGAAAATCCTGGCTCGTCTTTGTGTTACATGGATGGCTCACTTCCCCCAGAGGAGATGGGAGTGAGGGGCCTGGTGTAGGATTGTGATGTGAAGCAATTTTGCCCAGGGATGGGATGGGCTCTCCTTCACAGGAGGTGTTGAGGAGGAGGTTGGACAGCAATTAGTCAGGGATGATGTAGGCATAACAATGCTTATGTTCTACTATGGGGATTTTCCCGACTTCTGGGCTTTGCTGGTTGCCCCCTCCCCCACTTTTCTGCTACGTGTCAGGGTGTTTTTAAGCCTTCCCCAGAGGCACTGGGTGTTGGCTACAGCCAAGCCTGGGAACTTTGACCGGGGTATACCAGTGCACCTGCTGAGGCCAAAGCCAAAGGTTCCTGGCTAGAGGGTCTTGCCCCTCTGCTCGGGGTCAGACTGATGCTGCACTAGGATCAGAAAGGAATGATGAACATGGGCCGACAATGCGAGGTCACAGTTGGCAGGGCTTAACCACACCTTGTCATGCATCCACAGGTGCATCTCTAGCAGGGACAAGGAGGTGATCCTCCCCCTCAATGCAACACTGGTCAGGCCACAGCTGGAGTACTGTGTCCAGTTCTGTGTGCCCCACTTCAGGAGAGATGTGGACAACATTGAGAGGGTCCAGAGGAGGCCACCCGCATGATCTGGGGACTACAGGGCAAACACTACAATGAGTGTAGTCGGGGGTTGGGCTAGAAGATCTACTAGGTCCCTTCCGACCCTTAATCTATGAATCTATGAATGAGAGACTGCGGGACCTGAACCTGTTCAGCCTTCACAAGAGAAGGCTGAGGGGGGACCTGGTGACAGTCTATAAACTCACTAGGGGGGACCAGAAGGGTTTGGGAGACCTTCTTTCCCCTAGTGGCCCCCGGCATAACAAGGAATAACGGCCACAAGTTGTTGGAGAGGAGGTTTAGATTAGACATCCGTAAAAACTACTTCACAGTTAGGGCGGCTAGGATCTGGAACCAACTTCCAAGGGAAGTGGTGCTGGCTTCTACTATGGGGGGTCTTTAAGAGGAGGCTTGATGCCTACCTAGCTGGGATCATTTGAGCCCAGTTTTTTCTTCTGCTCTGGCAGGGGGTCGGACTTGAAGATCTATAAGGT